AAGTGACATTAAAGCAGAAAAAAATAAAACAGGAAGAAAAAAAGAAGCATTTTAATGAAATAAAAAAAGTTATTAATTAAAACCTGAAATGGTTATCAGGTTTAATAATTAATTAAAACTTGAAATGGTTATCAGGTTTAATAATTAATTAAAACCTGATAGCCATTTCAGTTTAAAATCTGATAATTGAAACCTGATAATTAAATCTGATAATTATTAATTAAACCTAATAAATATTTTCAGATGTTTTCCACGATCTGATAGACATCTTGCATATCAATTATTACAAATTGCTAAATCACATATCGAAAAAGGTGAAAGAAAAGAAGTATGTTTCATTTCATGCAATTAATTTGTTTCAAACAACGATAGTAAACTCGCGAGAAGAACACTTCTTATCACCTTTTTTTTATCTCATCCATTTATCATATCACTTATCGATTTTGCTTATTTCATTAAGTAATATTCATCCAATCGTTTACTTTCTTTACTTCATTTCATTTTCCACATTTATTCTTGAATATAAATTTTACATTTTCCAGGCTATATCATACGCATATGAGGCAATGTGTATATTTGAAGTATGTTTTGGCCTCAATCATCCCTATTATCTTCAAACTCTTGCCCTTTGGACATTTTTGGATAAGAATATTCCAAAAACGGATAACAATTAATTGCATTAATGAATTTTCAATCAAATAAACCAATTGATTTAACGGAAATTTTGTTGAAAAAACTTTAAATTTAATTAATTTAATTTTTAAAAATTTTATAAAATTATAATAAAATAATTTTGTGAATAATAAAATATTTATAATAGCGCAATCTTTGATTATTTTCGAATTAAAATATTCCAAAATTAAATTTTTTTCCAAATTCTTTTTTTCCAAAATTAAAAAGCAATCGATATTTGCAAATGAAAATGGTGCATATTTTTTGAAATTACTAATTTTAATTTTCCACAATTCATCCAAATTTTTTTTTTGCTCAAATATTGAGTTAATAATAATTTAATTGTGAAATTTTAGTTTAATATTCGAAAATATCAAAATTATTATTTTAGAATTCTTACGATTATTTGTTTTCTTATTTATATACTTCGTATACTTCTTATTTACTTATTGCATCACGTTCTATGCACGTACCACATCACGTTTTATAACGTATCACATCACGTTTCATCTTATTATCTCGCATTGTTTTCATTTTGCCATATTTTAGTAATACATTCAAATCATATTTCTTATACTTCCTACTTTCTACTTACCATCACGTTTTATGTCGCATCACATTTTATGACGTGTCGCATTATCACGTTTTATGACGTGTCGCATTACGTTCTGCGATGTATCCCATCATGTTCCATAACATATCACATCATCTTATTACCACACAGTGCTTTCATTTTGCCATATTTCAGTAATGCATTCAAATCATATTTCTTATACTTCCTATTTTTTACTTACGTGTCGCATCACGTTTTATGACATGTCGCATTACGTTCTGCGATATATCACATCACGTTTTATGACGTACCGTATCATGTTTCATCTTATCCCATAATCCTTTCATTTTACCATATTTCAGTAATATATTCAAATAAAATTAGTAATTAAAATATGCAATGTTATGATTGTTTCACAGTATTCATACATATTCATACATATTTTTATGGATCATAAATGTTGCATGTGTGTGTATGTGTATGTGTGTGTCATGTGTGTGTGTGTGCTGTGTGTGTGTATGTGTGTGCGCATGTGTATGTGTATGTGTGTGTATGTATATGTGTG